TGAATAAGTATGGTGAAAGAATACAACTCTGTCAAACACCTTTCTTAATTTTAAACCATTCAGTGTTCCCATGTTCTGTTCGAACAACTGCCTCTTGGTCCAGGTACAGATTCCTCATGAGCACGATTAAGTGTTCAGGAATACTTATACTTTGCAATATTGTCCACAGCTTGTAATGATCCATACAATCGAAAGCCTTTGTATAGTGAATAAAGCACAGGTAAACATCTTTCTGATATTCTCTGCTTCCAGTAGACCCTGCTATTTTCCTATTTGGTATCCAAGATATGTCAGGCTTACTTTATTTTATACTTTCTATCACATGCATCAAAATTATCTGGAGACTTTTGAAAATTATTCCTGTTCTTTTCTTCCCCCTGTCTTTTTAGTCCTCCCTATCAGTTACTTCACTACTTTAAATTCCCCCCTAGGCTCAACACATCTAGAACTGCTGCATTACCAATTTAAAAAGAATTCAGATTGTCTTGCTCATTTACTAGAGGAGCTTGCAAGACATACATAATGGCATTTTTATTCGTTTTTTTGAGAATGGAGATCTTGTGAAACATGAAAAGACCTTAAGAGACTTTACATTTACAGCTTTAAGGGCTGCAAAAGAAATTCTTAACACCATACAATATAATTTAAACCATAAATTATTTTCTTTCTATAAATGCAAACAAAAATTAGATAATCTTCTTTCAGTTAAAGATGGCCTACTGACCACACCCATTTAGCCCTGCTCCTTCCCTGAAACCACACTAAAAATAACAATTAAAACAACTGTTTACAAAAAATTCAAACACATCAGAGTAAAACAAAAGAGGCAATAATAATAACAAAACTTCAGAAAATGAAAAGCAAATGGGCAAGTGACTTAATAGATCTGAGATTACAGAATTCTAAGCCAGGAATGAGCAAAAGGAAAAAAACATTGCAGAAAAGCAAGAATACCACAAAACACAACAACCAGAAACTCCTGAAAAAAGTGGTAGAGGAGGAATTAAAAAGTTAAGAATTTGGTAGAGAAGGAAAATCTATAAAAGAACCAATTAGATGCTCAAATTCTCTTTCCCACTCTGGGCAATGTGGAGGTTGTTTTTCTCTTTCAAGCATAAATCTAAATGTTTAATATCTATGTAGAAGGTAGTACAGAGTTTATGAGCTTTGAAACACTAAGCAGAATTACAGCAAGAGACATACTGAAAACAAATTATGTTATGAAAGCTTATATTACAAATGTTTAAAACACCTGCCTTTTCCTCTCACTGCCCAGGATGCTGTCAGAAATAAGTATTGAAGAATTTCTTCTATAGATTTCATCTAACCTAAGAGAAAAGATCTCCAATATAAAAGTTCAAAATTCCCCACAATGAAACACACAGGTGCCAAACTTCTGTTATAGGCACAGATATTTTCCAAACATTTAAAATTCTTAATTATAAGTAGTCATGGCTCACAAAAAACTTGAGGAAAGTACCTAATATGCAAAACAAAAACTACCCAAAAAAATGAAAAAGCAATTTGGATGAAGCAGATCAAGTAGGCAGAAGGAAACAAAAGGCCATCCATTACTATTTTCAGAAAGGTAAAAGAAGATACTTGTTGTTTTTTGTTAATTGCTGTTGAATAAGTTCTGATTCATAGCAACCCTGAGTGTAGGCGTTCCAGGGAGTAGCTGGCTGGTTTGAACTGTAAATCTTGTGGTTCACAGTCCAGTGCTGATCCTACAGTGCCACATCAGGAGTCCAAGAGAAGATCTAGGATCAATAAAACAAGAACTGAATTCTATGAAAAAAGGACCCACCAAAGAGCTCTTGGAAATTAAAATGAAATAACAGAAATGAAAAGTTCTATAGGAGGGCTTAAGATCAAATTGAGGAAGTCTTTTAGAAAACAAAACACAAACTAAATCCATTGTCATCAAGTCTATTCTGACTCACAGCAACCTAATAGGGCAGGGTACAACTGTCCCAGGGTGTTTCCAAGGCTGTAAATCTTTGATTTGCATCTCTCTAATGGCTAATGACCATGAACATTTCTTCATATATTTGTTGGCTGCCTGAATGTCTTCTGTAAATCTTTATGGAAGCAGATTACCACATCTTTCTCCTGTGGAGCAACTGGTAGGTTTGAATTGCTGACCTTTTGGTTAACAGCCAAAGGTTTAGCCACTGTATCACCAGGGTTACTGTCTTTCAGCAAGCAGATCCAAAAGGCCAGATAATAAAAATAAGAGATAAAAAACAACTGTTCTAGAAAGAAGATGAAAAGGAGATCATCAAAGAAATATTCCAAAAAAAAACTTTTCAGAAATGAAGGATACAATTTCGTAGACTAAAAGATCCTAATGGATGTCTGAAATATGGGATTAGATTAGTCCCATATATAGGCACATAACTGTAAAACTTCACGAGGCACAAAGAGATCCCACAGACTTCCAGAAAGACAAAAATTGGTCACAGACAAAGGATTAGGAAAAATACAAATTAGTTTTAACCAGCCACACTATAGGCTAGAAGACAACAGAACACTTATTTTTAAAATTCTAAGGGAAAGTGTTCTCCAAATGAGATTTCTATACTTAAATTTAAGTGTGAGGTAGAATGGAAACATTGTCAGATATTCAAATTCTCAAATGAATTACCTCTGATGTACCCCTGGTGGTGGTGGTGGTGGTGGTGGTGTGCTGGGGAGTCGGTTCTTACTGATAGCGATCCTGCATAGGGTTTCCAATACTATAAATCTTTAACAGAAGCAGAAAGCCCCATCTTTCTCCAGCAGAACAGCTGGTAGTATCAAACTGATGACCTTGAGGTTAGCAGCCCAACTCATAACCACTATGCTTCCAGAGTTCCTTGATGTACCCCTTAGAAACCACAAAATTATATACTCAAAAGACATGGAATAAATCAAGAAATTGGAGTATAAGTATCTTATTAGGAGATATAATATTAAGGGAGAGATGAAGGCACTTTCCAGGTTGCTAGTAAAGAAAGATACTAGGATGAAAGCTGTGTACCAGGCTGAAAAAACAATCCATCTAATGTGTTGAGATCAGAAGGCTCCACGAGAGATTTCTTCAACATGAAACTGGTAAGAATAACCACGGCATTTGAGTGTATTAGGAGGAAATGTTTGTAACTGGGAATTGTGTTGTTGTTGTTTTGTTATGTGCTGTGCAGTCGGTTCCGACTCATTGCGACCCTGTACAGGGTTTCCAAGGCTGTAAACTTTTTACAGGAGCAGAAAGCCTCATCTTTCTCCTGCGGAACAGCTGGTAGTTTTGAACTGCTGACCTTGCGGTTCGCAGCCCGATTCGTAATTGTGAAGCATTGGTTAATTAGTGAAACAGCTGAATTACACAGAAATTTTAGCAAATTTTAAAGATGACTGAAACAGAAAATGTATGTTGCACACTACAGGTGTGAATAGCATTCAAGTAGTCCTAGTAATGTGAATATTAATCTAGTAAAAATTATGTTATGACTATATTAGGAGAATGAGGAACAGGAAGTTAATGTGTATTTATGTACACGGAGAGAGCTAAATCTTTATGCTCCATAATGGAAAAGTGTTTTAAAAAAAACAAAAGAAACTAAATATATTAACTTGGGAAACCCTATGCAGGGTCACTATGAGTCGAAACCAACTCAATGCCACATAACAAGAAGAACAACAAGTATATTAAGTTAGATATGTGATGTAAATACCAAAAGTAGTCAGTATACTAATTGAATAAAGCTGGCTTTGGGTCATGGGGTGTGGTATCAAAGCCAAGGGATGTGTTTGTTTGGTTTTAAGTTATCATTATAGAATGGCAACAACAGAACTATTTGACTCTTTATTTAAATTATACCACATGCATAATTCTGAAGCAAAAATAAAATTAAAAGTCTGCTCAAGCATGACTTCATTTTAAAAAATGTTCTTATATACTTACATTTATATTAAAAATTTTAAGAGTAGAAATGTTGCCATGATTACCATTAAAGAATACTAGAATCATAATACAAAATTAACATTTACTTGTATTTCTCAATGTCAATAGAAATATTCTACAGAATAACTTTTAAGTCCATTAAAATGTCATTATAAACAAGATTATTACTTGGATACTTAAGACTATGAGTTCAATCATCCATTGTGCACATATGGATTTCTCTCATAAGTCTAAACCAAAGTGATAATAACTCAAACTTTTATAATTGTTTTCTCTGGACAAAATTGTTCAAATTATCTTTAATTCTTATAATTTTGATAAATAGAGTTATAGTTTAGCAATTTCTCCCTTAATATATTCATATTCTCAATGTTGGTTGTTTAAATTAGAATGTACACATGGACTTGGATATGTGAGGGATAATTTCAGGTGTTTTCATTTACATGTGATTATCTGTATAGTTAATGAGACATTTATATTTAGAAAAAAAGATGAATTTGTTAGCAGTTGACTTTACAATAACTGGTCATCAGTTATATGAAAATCTTTTTCCTTACCATTCTGAACAAGTTGAACATGGCCTCCCAGTAGCCAGAAGAGAGATTCAGTCACAACTTGGAAAAAGTGCAGTAATTCATCTTTTTCTTCACCCTTAATACAAAAGACAAATTCATTTGCTTTTCTGTAATATGATTTATTTTTTAAATGACTTCTCCTTAAGGAGGACCTCTGAGGAGTCAGAAGAACTAGTTTCTGGATCTAGTTTAGCTATCTGTGAGATAAAAGATCTTATGCATGGCTACACTTCAGACTCTCTTCTGAACACATTTTGATCTTTTATTTAATTTTTATTGACCTTATGTTTTCTTCAGGTATGATGTCCTGAATGCTTATACTGCAGCACAAAAGTAATGATGAAAACAGAAAAATATTCAATGCCATCATTAATCTTCATAATTAACTATTTTATTCATATTATTCTAGCACAGTGTTAAATGGGTACTTAATACATAGAAACACACAGATCTAAATATAAAAACCCTAAAAAAGCTGAACAAACAACATGGCGGAGAGCATGGAAGTGCAGTGAGGAGCTCCATCAGCAACAACACAGAATACCAGACCAAGAAGACTCAGGGATGGTGCCAGAACTCTGAAACACATATAAAGGAACATTTAGAAATTTGGAAGGCTTACAGCCAGGAGAATTTGTAGCAGAAGCAAGAAATTCATTGTTTTCTCATTCAAGATGCTCAGCTGCCCCCAGAGCAGCCATCTTAGGCGAGACCAAGCTGGGGAAGGATCAGAGCCACCACGGAAACCTGACAGAACTGCCACGGATGCCTGACAGAACTGCAGAGATAAAGGTGTGGACATTCTTTTTTTTTTTTTTTAATCTATTAATTGGTCTCTTGCTGTATGCGCACCTCCATTCTGGTGACTTGAGGGGGTGCCTGAGCAACTGGACATCCCACCCCCAGCCCCGGAGGGTTCTACTATGTAGGCACACAGATCTCCTCGAAATTTAAAGTGACAGTTTCCACCTAAAACCAAACGGCAGTGCAAAATAGTCACAGCCAGTCCTGAACTGTTTATCACCATGAAACAGGCCTGAATGAGGATTGTGGAGCAGGACAGGCAGACTAAAAAGAAAATAGGCCAAAAATCAAATCTTGAGTTACGTCACAACAACAACAGTGGCATCTAGAAATTCTTCAGTAAGAGTGAAAAGGAAAGCCCATCTTCGGATCACATCTACCTGGAGGCAATCAGAAAGCATAAAAAATACCAAAATACACACCCATTTAAGTATTAAGTCCACAGATAGCTCCTGAATTTGCCCCCAAAACAGAAACAGATGACCAAATCTGCAAATGTCCAGAAACAAGATAAAGTGACTGAGGCAAATGAGCTGGAAGCAGACTTACACTCCATACTGGAAAATGGGAAGGCTTTGGAAATGCCTGAGAAGGAATTAAAAACAAAAAAAAAATGATTATAAAACGTATCAAAACACTATACAATGGAGTTGAAAAAATAAGGAAGAAGTCAGGAAAGCGCTACAAGAACAATCGAATAAGATAAATACAGCATTGGAAACAATTCAAAACCTACAGAAAGAGGGCCAAATGATTAATAATAAAATATCAGAAATGGACAATACACAGAAAAGGCAAAGGAGCAGAATTGAAGAGCGAAAAGCCAGAACTAGTGAGCTAGAAGATAAATCTCTGAACACTACTAAAACAGAAAAACAAGCACAAGCAAGGATAAAAAAATCTGAAGAAGGCCTAAGATTCCTGCTGGACAACATGAAGAGAAATAACTTAAAAATTATCAACATTCTGGAACAGGAACAATCACACAAGTCCACAGAAGAGTTAGCTGAAGAGCTTCTGGAAGAAAATTTCCCTAACATCCTGAAAAGCGAAAAGAAAAGCATCCAAGAAGCTCAATGAACCCCAGGAAGGATAGACCTTAAAAGAAAATCACCAAGACATATAGTAATCAAGCTCTCCAAAATCAAAGATAAGGACAGAATCCTGAAAGCATCTAGGGAAAAGAGAAGTGTAACATACAAAGGCAAGAAAATCAGATTAAGTTTGGATCTCTCAACAGAAACCATACAGGCAAGAAGGCAATGGGGAGAAGACATATATAAAACCCTGAAAGAAAAAAAACTGCCAACCAAGAATCCTCTACCCAGAAAAGCTGTCAATCAAATATGAAGGTTTAATAAAAACATTCCAGGATAAACAGAAGTTAAAGGATTTTGTCAAAGCCAATCCTGCTATGAAAAACATCCTAAAGGAAGTTCTGTGGACTGAGAACCAAAGAACAGACAACAAACAGAGAATGATGTAAGTGGTAGCATCACCCTGAACCCAATCGTGGTAGCATCACCCTAAACCCAACTGACAAATGGAAGAGTCAAGAACAGAATAAAATTATAAGAACAGAGGATCTGTGAGGTCAGTCTATGATCAAAACAATTACAATGGGAAAGAAGGTAAACACAGAGGAATGGAGATCCAGGTGGTAAGAAGGTCAGGTAGATTACAGGATAAAATACACTGTCTTAAATGGAGGGTAAGGTAACCACAACAGTGGGGTAGGGGTGGGGAGTTTAGTTCGGGTGTTGGGGAGGGCAATACAAGAAGGGGGAGGAGGTAGAAGAACAAGATATATAGGGGAACACTGAGACAGGTTTGCATGGCCTAAATGGGACAAAGGTAAAGAGTGATGCATGCTCAACCCTGGAACAATAGGACTCTGTGATACAGGGATCTAGACATAGTTTGAAGAGGGGAAATAATACTAAAATGCGTGACTGTCTTATGAATATTGTTTCCCTTTGCCTACTATTGTAAAATAGACAATTGAGTGGAATAGAAAGGAATGTTGGGAAACATGATTACAGAAAAGTCATAAGCCTGTCTTCAGCCTATAACTGATTGGAATACCTCAAAGGGGTTCTAGAATTTGTCCAGTAAAATAGGTCTCTTGCAAAGAATTTGCAGAATATAGGGCATGAGGTGAAATCCTGAGTCCCATCCAGAACCTTATGAGGTGAGACACTAGCAACAAGCAGACCAAGCCTGGAACAGCTAGAGCAACAGAAGATACATCTTCAAAGAAAGATTGTCAAGAAAACCCAAAACAAAAATGTCAGTATAACTGGTTACTACAAGAATAAGCAAGCTGAGCTACTAGTTTGGGCAGGCAGCAGAGACAGCCAGGTAGGAAACGCTCTGTAGAGGAAACCCAAAGAAGCTCCGCTAACGGAACACCACCAGAGCTCTGGATCTAGCATAAGACACAGGTGTCGGTTTACGGCAAGCTCAAGTGAAAAAAATCACGATATAAAGGAAAAATCCATGAGTTAGGAAGTGCTTGAGACACGACTCCCTCTGCGGCTACCCACCTGGACAGAGTTTAGAGTGTGGGGCTACAGCCAGACGAGCACAGGGAACCAGAACTAAAAGCGACGCGGTGACATCTGCAAAAGGAGGCGCAGGGAATTCTACACAATTTTTCCTCCTCTTCCCTGTAGTACTAGTACCTTCTCTGCCTAACCCAGACGCCTTCAGGAGGGTGGGAACACAACACCCCACCAAAAATAAAAAAGTCCAACGCTGAACCCATAGTTTTCCCATGGCACAGAAAGAGTTTGGTGGCTGTTTATGATGTCAGCCTGTGGATCCCAGCCCTAAAAGTTAACTTGTGCAGGACCCTTTACTATACAGCAAGAAAAAACCTGGTCTGGTCTGACAGAAAAACCATATGAACAATCTGTAAAACCCCAACAAAAAGAACGCAACTATCTCAAGAATTACACTGTGCACATGCAGATACCTAACTGACCTTCAGAGACAAAAATAGTAGACAATCTTTCTTCCATAAACTTCTCAATATCTATCTGCGTACCTCTACGGTGGTGACTGGAGGAGGGTCCTGAGCAAGTGGACACCCCCACCCACTACTACTGGAGGCTTCTACGATGCACACACATGCCTGTGCAGCAAGGTAACTGGGCAATCAGCCACAGTTTTATTTTTGTTTCAAAGTGTGATTTTTGTCTCTGCTTTTATATTGCTACTGCTTTTGGTCCATTTGATCACACATTTGTCCTTGAGGTGGGAGCTTTTTATCCCTATGTTACCCAAGAAGAGACAGAAATTGTGGCCATGTAGCCAAGCTATACGCATATTCCATAATATTCCACCATTAAGACAAGAGCCAATAATAGCTACTAAGCATTACATGCGAAGAGGGTAGCCTATCTCCTGATTATATCCACCAGGAGACACCCAGTAAGCTTAATAACACAACAACAAACATCCATTTAAGCATTAAAAAAAAATAAAAACATAACTACTGGAAATGACAAACAAAAGATCTCAAACAACAAATGATTTAAAAACATGTCCAAAACCAGAAAAGAGTAACTGAGACAAATGTGCTGGAGACAGACAAAGGCTCCCCAGAAGAGGAAGAGCAGGTTTTGAATTTGCCTGAGAAAGAATTCAGAAGAATTTTATGGAAAGAAATTCAAAAGCTCCAAAAAGGGGTGGAGGAAAACAAGGAAGAAGTCAGGAAAATGCTACAAGAGCAATCAAACAAGATTGATACAGCATTGGAAACAATTCAAAACCTGCAAAAAAGAGGTCTAGATGATTAATAATAAAATATCAGAAATAGACAATATACTGAAAGGGGAAAAGAGCAGAATAGAAGAGATGGAAGCCAGAACTAGCAAGCTGGAAGACAAATCTCTCAATACTGCTAAGATGAAAAATGCAAGCTGAAAAATGGATAGAAAAATCTGAAGAGTCTAAGATCCATGCTGGGTGACTGTTACAATGTTACAATACCTTCCGGTTCTTCCCTCTCCCCTCCCTCCAACTCCATTTTGTCTGTTTCCCCGTCCTAAGCTACAAAGCGCATAGTTTAAAGGAAAACATGGCTTTTGATAGGCCAGAGCTAAATCATCCCAGCAATGACCACTCCCTTCCTGTTGAACCTATATAAATCCCCTCCCTTCCTGTTGACTCCTCTCTCTCTTCCTTCTTTCTCTCCTCCCTTCCGCCTCCTGCCTTCTCTCTCTGGCAGAGGTTATCTTCCTCACCCTGAATAAAGGTCTCTAGATG